AATCCATAACTCCATTTTCCAACAAAATCAAACCATATTTTGGACATCAAACCTATACTAGTTTAGAAATCAATCCATAACAGCCAAACCCATTTTAGAAATGAACACCAAATTCAACTAATTCAAGCATATAAAACCCTAATGCCACAATCAAGGGGAAACAGAGGAAGGGAGAGAGAGAGAGAGAGAGAGAGAGAGAGAGAGAGAGAGAGAGAGAGAGAGAGGGAACCTGTGATCTGCGGCTTTGCCGGTGGTGCTTTGCGGTGGTAGCCCTGGCCGTGACAATGTCCTCCATACGGTGGGCTGTGGTGAGGTGTTTCTCTCTGAGGTTTGGTGTCTGATTGTCTTTGTCTTAGAGGTTTGAAAGTTGTTTTGCGTAACAAAGAAAGGGGTGATCAACAATAAAAGAGTTCGCGCCCTAAAAAATTCCAAGCTTTAGCGACTAAAATCAAATTTTGTCGGTAAAAGGGTGCTTATTGGTGACTATTCTATTTGGTAGCCACTGGTAAATGAACGGAGCCTATTTTATTGGTCGCCAAAAGTATTTGGTGACTAAATCTCCATTTGGTTGGGAAAAAATAATATTTGCCCACTAAATTTTTTAGTCGCAAAAGAGTAACCATAAAAATATACATGTTTTTTGGCTACTGCCATTTATTTTGTAGGCAAAAAATAATATAAGACGACAAAAAAAAAAATAATTTGTAGCCTAAAATTTACACTAACAACGACTAATAAATATTTTAGTTGCTAAAAGTGACATTTTTGCAGACAAAAAAATAATTTAGTTGCTAGTAAATAAAATTTCCCGACTAAAAATTTTTAGTAGCTACATCCTATACCAACACCGACTAATACATATTTCAGTCGCCCAAAGTGACATTTTTGGCGACTAAATTTTTTTAGTCGTCAAAAGTGGTCACCAAAAGTGTAAATTCTTGTAGTGTATTAATACTAGACATTATAAATTATGTGTATGAGAGATGAGAGAGAAAGAAAATAGCAAAAAATATTCGAGGGTATTATAGTGATTTTACATCTATAATTAATGGTGTTCATAGTTACATTTTAATCCAAAATCACATGAGGGGCGTATGACTATTTTTAAAAGAAAGAGGGGGAAAGTTCTATCAAGGTAAAATGGATTGTCCTATAAAATAATATTCCCAATATTTATGGCGTCTGGTTATGATCTATTGTGATAGTTATCCCAGGTAGACAATCCAAGAGAGGGGTGAATTGGGTTTCTTAACAAAATTGCTAAATTAAAAATTAACCCAAATAATAAATAAATAAATATGCTCCAAAATATAAAATAAAGTAATAAAATAAAATGAGCAAAGGGAAGAACAAGCAAACTCAGCGATTTATAATAGTTCAGCACACCGGGCCTACGTCCCCTCCCCAAGTATCCTCATATCAGGAATTTCAACAATATTTTTCAAATAGTAATTACGCTACTAGCTTCACGGGTGCTAGTGAACCTTTACAACAAGTGACCAATTCTAACCACTTTGACTAGTTTAGAATCTGGTGCCAATCACATTTAAACCAAGTGATTTTATCCCAAATAATCACTCACATAAAATATCCGAACAAGTTTTGAATCCGATATCTAATGATGCCTAACCCAAATGATTTTATTCCAAAAATCACTCACAAACTCCCCCTCTCTCTCTCTCTCTACAAGAATAATATGAATAAGGGATAGAAAACCCTTTTACAATTTTACTCAATCTCTCAATAAATTTTCTCATAGAAAATACAACTCAGTGAAGTGCAATACTATATTTGAGAGTATTTTAATATCATAGATTTTTCTCTTATTTTCACTTCCTCACTTCTTATTTTTCTCCAACTAAAATACTTCTTATATATCATAAAATTATATCCGTTGGAGGAGACGCATGTAGAGCATGGGCACCAATTATTTTCAAATATGGCAGGTGGGGGATTGAAAATATAGACAATGGTCACTTTTGATAAATAATAATTCAATTTTTTTCAACCATTTCTCGTGAAAAACAAAGAGTGCACAATAACTTGCATAGTAACTTTTTTAATAAAATATTTGAATGTATAGTGACTTCTCTTTTAAAATATTTGAATGACAGTAATTTCTCTATTAAAATATTTGAATGACAGTGATTTCTCTATTAAAATATTTGTATGCATAGTAAAATCTCTTTAAATAATATTTTTATTAAATATGAAAATATATACTCCTTTTAAAATCTTTGTAATTATTGTAAAGATTTTAGATACACTCTAATAAAAATAATCAACCATCCTATGTGAGTATATCGAATTTTATCACAAGAAAACAACTCACTAATATCATATTTGTCAAAAGAATACAACCAATTAATATCAAATTTGTCAAAAGATGAATAGTGACCAACCGTATTTTTCAAAACGTAAATAGTAAATTTTATAAAATATTTTTGTAAAATCAGACCTTGCACATTAATTTCAATTTAAATATTATTCATAAAAAATACATCAAACATAATATATTTTAAACATATAATATTTTGTGTCAAGAAATAAAAATATGTATATTAAAAAATTATAATTTATCCAATAATATTTTAGATATCATCAAAATTAAATCATATGATTAACAGTGATATTAGTTATAAGTTATTATAATGTTGATCATGACATTATTTTAATTATATTTTGTGAGGTGTTTGATTATGACTTAATTTTTTTTATTTTTTTTATTTTAATTATGACTTATAAGTTATTATAATGTTGATCATGACATTATTTTAATTATATTTTGTGAGGTGTTTGATTATGACTTAATTTTTTTTTATTTTTTTTATTTTAATTATGACTAAAATAAAATGTCATAATATGCATATATTGTGTACCATAACAAGACTCAGTAATACCATACTAATCCAAATATATATATATATATATATAATTTTTGTATTGAACTACGTCATTTGCTGTTTAGGAAAAATACCAAATAAATAGAAATTTTAAAAAAATAATCGGAAATTAGTGAGAATGTAAACAAAATTTGTGTTATTCTACATAATTCTCACTTGCGTGGAGTCAAATATTTCACTTGATTTGTAATTATTTTTTTCAATTATCATTATCTAAAACTTTTAGCTTGTGGAACATATCAAATATAATAAATAAACAAATATGGATAAATTATAAATACATCTCAGATTTGTTTAAAATACGAATTATCACTTGTGATTTTAGAAATTACATTTCGCTCCATGAAGTTTCTAATTTCATAACAAATGGCTCTTTTTATTAATAAATCATCAATTCAATTAATAATTTTTAATGATATGTTAGAAAATTTTATTCCAACTAATAATTGAGGTAATTTTATTATGGGTAAGTTACAATTTAACTCCCTGTGGTTTATCTAAAAAACACGGAAGCTCTCTATAGTTTCATTTGTAATACTTAAACCTCTTGGACTTCATACCATATTGCAATTTCTGACGCAATCATTTGCACGACCATAAAACAAAAATTTTCCCTTTTCAACCACACTAGATAATTCCTTAATTTTTTCTTCTTCCCATTTTTTTTTGAAAACTAGAAACGTTGGTTCCCTCTCTAAAATGTTTCTCTCTCTCTCTCTAGATTATCTCCTTCATTTCTTCATCTTTTCTTTTTATTTTTGTTTTATTATTTTTGTAAAATCTTTATCTACCGTTCTTTTGACTCAAATAAAGTTAACACAGAAATTAAAGTTAATCTAGCCAAGCTCAACCTCTTGCGCTTCTACCCCTCTATCTATTGTCATATTCTTCCCTTCACTGTTACCATACTGCACGTATTACCACTATCTCCCTCCTTATCTTCTCCATGTCATTCTCCCTCATTTCTTACAACACCATGAGACCACCATCATTGAAACCATGGGCTCCCATAGTAGTTTCTTAAATTCTCTCTCTACCTAGCAACCACCATCATCATTCATCTTCTCTTTATCACTATGGACACACATACGTTATATACATAGGCATACCCAATTAATTAAGCCAATACCCAAATTGTAGTAGTGGTTACCACCACGTGAGAGGTGTAGGTGATGGGTGTTGATTGAGTGGAGGAGATGTGATAAGCTTGGTAGATGTTTGCAGCTACGGATTGTTTGTTTGGGTCTAAGTTCTAGAGAGAGAGAGATGAGTGTTTATTTGGGTCTAAATTCTAAAGAGAGAGATATGAGTATTTGTTTGGGTCTAAATTCTAGAGAGAGAGAGAGAGAGAGAGAGAGAAAGAGATATGTATTTGATGATGGTATGAGAGGTGTGTGGTTTGCCATAGAATGAGAAAGAAACCAGTGAAGAAGAAGAAGAGAAAAATAATACAGAAAAATTAAAGCAAAATGAGAGAGAATGTTCTAATTTGTAATGGCATTACAAAAAAATTAGAGAAAGAAATAAGATAAATTTAGACTTTTTACAACTTCTGTTACGTCCGTCTGAAATTGCACTCTGGTATGAAGTTCAGGGGGTTCAAGTGTTACAAATAAAATTACAGGGGGCTTCGTATTTTTTGGGTAAACCATAGGGGGTTATAATATAATTTATCCTTTATCCTTTTATTATTTTATAGGAAAATAGTTAGGAATTTTATTTTTTCAGTTAGTTTAGCTAAATAAAAAATCCTGATAAGAAATACTTGTAATTTTGGAAATTGTAAGGGCCAATTTGTATTTAAAATAAATCTCATCAAATATATTTGTAATTAAAAAAATAATAATTAAAAATTATTGACTACGCAAGTGAAAAGTGAGCAATTCTGCACATTTTTGCATAGTCCAATTGACTGAAGCTTATCTATTTTTTATTCATATAATATCTCTCCATTCTTTAAAATGGAATCCCGTTAAGATGGCGACTGTCGAAATTGGCAGATATTGAATACAAAAAAATGGCTTATTAGTCATCATCTCTCTGTTACATTATTTTCCCAACCAGCATTCTCTTCTCTTCTATATAAATATATGCCAAGCCAGCGAAAGAAAAACAAACACAGACCAAAGAGCAAAGTTCTATAGGAAAAAAAAAAAGAAACAAAGATTAGAATTGAAGATATGGAATTGCTCTTCAAATCTGCTTTCTCTGTAGGGTTGCTCTTCTTAACCAGTTTCATCCTCTATCTCTTCAATAGATATTGGGTGAGGCCTCAGAGGCTTCGATCAAAGCTTCGTACCCAAGGTCTGAGAGGTCCTTCACCTTCATTTCTTCTTGGTAACACTCCCGATTTCATCAAATTCCAACCCAAAGACATCAAAGCTCTTACTGAAGATGGTGAAGTCGCACACGATTGGGCTCGATTCACCTTCCCATTATTCGACCATTGGACTAAACAGTATGGTATGTATTAACCAATTGCAAAACCCATTGACTACTATACTTGTTCATGTAATTTCCAATCACAAATGTTGATTTGGAGTGGATTTTGACAGGTCAAAGGTACAACTTTGCTTTGGGAACATATCAAGTGGTTTACATTACTGATCCACATTTGGCCAAGGAAATAAGCATCTCCACATCACTCAAGTTGGGAAAGCCTTTTTTCCTACAAAAGAATTCTGAAACCTTGTTTGGTAAGGGCATACTTACCTCAGATGGAGAGTTCTGGGCTCACCAAAGAAAAACCATAGCTCCTGAGTTCTATGCCGATAAAGTTAAGGTACTAATACAAATATAAAATACTCACCATAGCTGTTACAATTTGAATTTGCAAACTATTTACTCTATAGAAAAATTGATCAAATGGGAAAAATATGATGCAGAATTTGGTGCACATAATGTTAGACTCTGCAAACAAACTAATCAACACATGGGAGACTGAAATAGAAAAACAAAGTGGGACAGCAAATATAAAGGCTGATGAGGATTTGCATAGCTTTGCTTCTATTGTCATCTCTAAAACATTGTTTGGGCATAGCAATTCCAAAGTGATTAATGAATTGCAATCAAGGTTCAAGCGTCTCGAAAGGGCCATGAAAACTCCAATCCTTGTCAGCGGCGTTCCTGGCTTGTGGTAGGTGTTTGAAGTTCTTTTTATCGTGTGTCATTTTTTATTTGTGAAGTAATTATTTTTAAGTATTTCTGCATTTTTTTCTTTAGATTATTTTTAAAAATGGTTGTTATTTAGGTACATTCCAACCAAGAGCAATTTAGAGAAGTGGAGATTGAAGAAAGAGATACATTCACTGATTATGAGTATTGTAAACGAGCCTTCTTATAAGGTAGACATGCTACAAACGATCATCAATGGAGCTAAGATGAGTGCTTCTGGACTAGCTGCAGCAGAACAACTCATAGTTGACAACTGTAAGAATGTTTACCTAGCAGGGCTTGAAAGCACATCAAACACTGCAGCCTGGACCTTGATGTTGCTTGCAACGCATCCAGAATGGCAAGATCGTGCCCGTGCAGAGGTTGCTGAAGTTTGTGGTGAAAGCTTGCCCAATGCCACTATGCTTGGCAAAATGAAAGTGGTAAGTATGAGTCTAGAAGTTTTTGCATTTAAAATTTGTGGATGAGGTTTTTCCTCGTGCACAATCTGTTGATTAGCAAGATTTGTGAAAATTAATTGTATTTTCCTTTAATTTGAATTGTAGTTGACATCAGTAATTCAAGAAGCATTAAGACTCTACCCTCCGGGACCCTTTATAGCAAGAGAAACCCTAGAAGATATGAAGTTCGGAGACCTTGAAATTCCAAAAGGTGTTGGCGTTTGGGTTGCTGTGATGCCACTTCACCATGACCCTGAACTCTGGGGTCCTGACCCAAGCAAATTTAACCCAGATAGGTTTGCTGATGGCATAGGAAGTGCTTGCAAAGTCCCTCAAGCATATATTCCTTTTGGTAATGGTCCCCATATCTGTGCTGGACAATTATTTGCGATGCTGGAGCTAAAGGTTGTTCTAGTTCTCATTCTCTCCAAATTTTCCTTTTCCCTTGATGCAAATTATGTCCACTCCCCAGTGATGGAGAATATTATACGACCAGGACATGGAGTAAACCTTATCATGCAGAAGTTGACTAAGTGAATCTTTGAGAAATACTAAAGAATCATATCTAATGTTATATAAAGGAATTGGGTGATTATGTGGTTTCTTGTATAATATTTAGTTGTCGAGCGGACAATGCATGAGCAAGTCGAGTTATGTAATAAAGTAAAAGAATGACTTTTAGTTCTTCCATTTTCGTAAAATTGTAATAAGCTTGAAAAAAATGCATAACAATGAAGTGTTTGTGAAAAGAGTTGTTTACTTTCATCATCTGTGTAGGTTAGGTTGCTTCCTGTTTTCGAGGTCTACCTCAAGTATTTGTCTAAGCTGTGTTCGTAATATTTAGTTTGTTGTTGTTGTTGTTTTTTTTTTTTTTTTTTTTTTTTTTTTTTTCGGTGACTTTCAAAACAAAATGTTTAACATTAAATTTTGGATGTGTAATACAATCTTTTGTGTAGTACAGATTTAAATTAATATACGTAGCATGCACAATATCATATTTGAGCCATGCATATTCTGAGCTTTGAGTACAAAACAGCTTCACTAGTTCCATTTTGGATAAATTACACTTTTTTCCTTTTATATTAGTCACTTTTTCACTTTGACTCTTAAAGCTTATTTTTTTCTACTTTGATTCTTCAAGTTTCAAGTTTTTCCAAATTTACTTCTAAAGCAGGGGTGATCGCGAATCGGGTTGGGTTGGGTGGCAGATTGAAAAAAATCAATCTACATCCATCCACCGGTTTGGCAGATGGGAATTGAGCGGACCGTGCAGGTTGGCGGATGGATGCAATCAGTTTGACGGTTTGGACTTTACAAAATTTGGACATTTTTTTAAATTATAATTCATAACTTTTACAATCTATAATAACTGGTAATACGAAAAATATGCATTATTTGTCTACAATAGGCCATGGCACCATATATGCATATTTTTAAGGTATTATTTCACATTTTCACAAAAGTGTATATTTTACTATTTCTAATCTATGTTGTTATTCGTTAGTGGTTTCTTTTTTCTTTTTTCTTTTTTATCTTTTTCTTTTTTTGAATTTCATTTACGATGGATCGGGTTCATGCGGGTGCAGGATGGTTGATCCGCCATCCGAACCGTATTTGCAAATTTTAAAATACCTGCATCCATCCGCCAAAAGGCATCCATCTTGGGTCGGTTCGGTCGGATTGTGCGGGTTGGACGAATCCATGATCGCTCTTACTCTAAAGTTAATTTATGTTCAAAATTAGACTAAAAATGCCATGATAACTGTTAGATAATATAAAAAATATATTATTATATTAGGATTTGAGTTTGTGTCAAAACAGTGAGTTATATAGAATAAAATATTTTAGGATAAATTACAAACACACCCCCTGAGGTTTACTTAAATTGCAAATTACTCCTTGTGATTTTAGAAATTACATTATGCCCCCTAAGGTTTCTAATTTCATAACAAATATGTCATTTTATTAATAAATCATCAAGTTAATTAACAGTTTTTTAACAATGTTAAAATTTTATTTCAATTAATAATTTAGATAATTTTATTATTGTATAGGTGAACAGTTAGAAATTTTAATTTTTCAATTAATTCTGTTAAATAAAAAATTATGACGGGGAGGTATTTGTAATTTTTCAAACCTCAGAGGTGTATTTGCAATTTACCCAAATTTAGAAAAACTTGAAACATAAAGAGCTAGAGTGAGAAAAAAAATAAAATTTAAGAGCCAAAATAAAAAAATAAACAAACATAAAAGGGACAAAATGTAATTTACCCTTCAATTTTTCTGTACAAATGCTCACCCAAAAACCTTCAATGAATTAAATTATATATCACAAACTAATCAAAAAGCTATGTTTGTTGCTATCGGACACTATCAATGGATGGGACTTGACGCAAATCTGATAGACTTGAAAAATCCAAATCCATTAACAAATATCTAATCCAGCAATTCGTTTAATGTCAAAATTCCACAGATCCAATTATAGGACGGGAATAATATTTAGCGACTATGCCTTCTTTAGGATTTAGTTTTAAAGAGGTTATAGATTCAATTCTCTTAAGAAGAGTAGAATTAAAAGAGTGTAAGTACTTAGGTGCTTTGTCAAAAGTGAAGAAATCTTCTCTCATAAGTGTTAATCTAATAATTAACAAACAATAACTAACATTTACCGCTCAAAAAAAAAAAAAAAAAAAGGACGGGAATAAATCCCATACGATCCAATATGATATTAGACTGGAGTGGAATTTTTGATTTTTGATTTTTTCCAGTTATGTTTAACAAAAGAAGGATTCAAATCCACAAAGATGGAATGAATATTTCTATTTTACGATCAATAGTTATGAAAATTTGTATTAATAATTTTTTTCTTTTATATTACGAAATGATTGGTTTTACAATTTATAATTACAAGATAGTTATAAACTGTTAATTTTAAATTTTAAATATGGAAAATTTTATGATACACACTCTTTTGGAATGTGTACCATATGCCCCTAATTATGACTTTCGTAGTATTTAGTTATGACCCATTAGGGTGTTAGTTTTGACTTATCCGTTTGGATTGTGAGGAGAGGTAAGAAAAGAAATAATTGTGATTTCTTACCTAAATAAGAATAGAAAAGAAATGATTGTGATTCCTCACCATTATGTTTGGATGAATAAAAAAAAGAGAATATGATTTCTCACCTATCTTGTTTAAATAGAGTAATAAGTAAGAGAAAGGGGAGGAAAAAAAAGTGTTTTATTTCATTTTATTAAAATAACATTTCATATTAATACGTTATGTTTTTTCATAAAGGTAATTTTGGTATTCTAAAACAATTTCTTTAAACCCAATTATTTTCTCACTAAATCTTCCCACTTTTAGTTAGAAACAAAACACATATTTTGTGAGAGTCTTTTTCTCACCATTTCTCACTCTACTTAACTATCTAAACAAGTGAAAGGGCTTTTTATTCTCATAATTTCTTTTATTTTCTCACCAAACTCCTCCATCTAAACAACATGTTTGTTATGACTTGGTTATACACATTATAGTATTAGTTATGGCTCATTAAGATGTTAGTTATGACTAGAAGTGGCACATGGATGATTTTGAGTGGCTAAAACGTGTTGGATAATAAAATAATTCAATCTAAATATGCCTATTTACTAAATGGGTTTAAATGGGTTGAATTAAATTGGATGCGAAGTGGATAAATTAACTCGACTAACCCATTTTCTTTAATGAATTTATTTTTTAATAGATTCAAATTTAAAAATAAAAAAAAAAAATTGGTGACAAACAAATAAATGTCAAAAATAGTTTTTGCAAAATTACATACACATGTTTATTGTCATGTATAAAAAAAAAAAAAATTTGAACCTAAACACACATACATAACAAAATATATATTGTGTTTCCATATGTATATATAGATGTGTGTAATACATGCATGCAAATAGAGCTGGAAGTAGTTGAAAAAAAAAAAAATTAAGAATCCAAGTTAGAGAGCGAGAGATAGTGGGGATGTATTTTTAGGATCGTACCACGTGGTCGGGATGTGACCGAGGTGTCACGTGGGCAAGCCAGATTGTTGAGGTGGTTATGGTATGCTGAGATATAGTGGAGTAATGCTGGAATCCCGAGATATTTGGATAGGGGATAAGAGTCCTAGATAAGTGATGCGCTTAGTTTGGATAAGGATGATACTTTTGAGGAGTTCATCCATATCTAACTAAGAGTCCGAGATAAGCATTGTGTTTGAGTCATGTGAAGTGAGACTTCTAAAGATAGAGGGCACAGGCACCCTCGTGGGTCTAAGGTATGCTTTTATTGAGTGTTGTGTCATTTGCTTGATATCTTTGAGAGATAAGTTGATTGACTTGATCGTCGGAGTGCCCCTGCGTGGAGGGCCACCATGGTATTCTTATCTTCTTGTGGATAGATGCTTGGTTTAATCTATTCCCCTGTGTGCTCTCCAACTAAGTTCCTTGTTTGGTTGTGAGGTCAGAAATCAACTCTAACAATTTGGCGTCGTATGTGGGAACTTAGTATAGAATATATGGCCAACGCTGGACAAGAGGAGAGAGCCAGGGACAACTGTAGACACCCCAATTTTGACCATTCGTAAGACTTAGGCGCTTGATTCTGAGCACTCGATGATGACGATTACATTGAGTCAGTGGTTTAAATTCTCAATAAAAGAATCTGAGTTCGAGCTCTAAACAATTCCAACCTGGCATACCCACTGTATTTCTACCCCGGAATTTCAGTATTGCATCTTGTATCAACCTGTATTGAACTTGAAAGAAAGAGATAGTGGAAACACATTGAAGTCTGGCCGGACCTAAGTGATATCCGGCCGGAGATACCAACATCCGGCCGGGGCTCTGGACGTTTTAGACAGATTCAGCGGTGTTTTGCCAGTTGCCCAATTCTGCAGGTATTTTGATCAAACCTGCTCTGGGCCTATAAATAGCAGGGTTCAGATTGCTGTATAGAGGTTGAAAAACATATATAGAATTTGGTTAGAGAGATCAAATCAATATCAAGTGAGTTAGAAATATCAAGAGTTAGAAAAGATCAAAGCTATCATCATTCTTATTCTTCCACAAGCCTTGAAGCTCTTATATCATCCATACATACCATACAAGAGCTTGAACTTGAACTTAATTTGAGAATTGAAAATCATACTCAAACTTGAGGGTGCTTTGGAATCAAGTTTGATTTACAACAAGAACACCTTCTCTACAAGAGGTAAAGCTTTCTTGCTTTTATTTCAATCTTTGTTCATCTTTTTCTTGTGTTTTCATATTATTTTTGGATTGTTTTGAGGGTTGAAACTAGTGATTCAAAGCTACCGAAAGGTGGAAGGGTTAATCACCCTTGCTTGAACCTTACTCCTAGCTTAAATCCTTATGTTTCCCATTTGTTTTCGTCAACTTTTGCCACTATTTTGGGGCTGATTTGGGACTGTTTTGGGGCTGTTTTTGAACATCTAAACTATGTGATTTGAAGTTGTAAAAGTGGGGAGGGGTTAGCCACCCTTCCTCATACTTGTACTAGCTTTAATCTCTCTATGATCGTGCACCTTCTATAGTTTAATTTCAGCACTATTGTATGTTATTTAGGGGCTGTTCAATTTATTTCAGTAAGTTTGTTTTACATATTATGTTTGTGTTTTATTAACCAATTAATCAACTTTGCAACCTCCCTCAACTCTTCGATTATTTTGATTAAAAAGTTGTGAAAAATTAAGATTGTGGTTCAAGTATAAGGAAGAAACTTTTCTCATGCTTAATGGTTTA